GCACCCTGCAAAGGAAGAAAACCCCAGAACTCACAAAGGCAGATGTCACAGAATATTTTGCCACAAACAGTCCCATCTGCTGTCCCTGTTGCTGATAACACTGTAATCATTACACCTTAAAGGCATAATAGGCCCATCGATTATGCAATTTTAACGAATGCTAGAGTAACTGGCACCTTGTGTAGTTAATAAGTACATTACCTTATAGCCAACGCGTATTAGTTTGTCCAATATCACTGCTGGTTACTAAGAAATGTCTAATTGAAATCCGCAGTCCACGAATCAGTTGACTGACTTGTTTACAGTTTCGAAACCGCATACTTCAAAACGGTGTGATACAGATTTATAGTCCACCGGACATTTTCGCACGCATGCAAAAACGCACGCACGCATGCATTTTCGCTCGGCCGTACGCAATGCTAGCGATAGTACAGTACCCTAACTATACGTAACAGTAGCTCTGATTGTAATGAACGTGGAATCCACGTACGAATCACGGACGCTCGTGATAATGAAGTAGGCTTGTTGCGGGCCAACGCTATGGAGGATCGCGGACTAACCACGGCCAAAGACTAAACATGGAAAGCAGACAGCACTACGCGTATTTACGTATATTGGTCAAACGATACACCTGTGTCTGAAATTGAAGACATGTGGTACCTGTTCATTAGCACCCACGATTATTTACTTGTGCCTCAATACGAGAATACACCCAGAGATACATTCTACTAGCTCATTAGTCGTATATAAGCATCCCGGACAAACAATTCTCTGCTAAACACCCGTAGCAACATGTGACGTTGCCTAACCGAATTCGAGGCTATTTTGCTTGGCAACCAATTTAGCGTTGGCGCCAGATTACCAGATTTACGGATTTCAATTAGACATTTCTTAGTAATTAGCAGTGATATTGGACAAACTAATACGCGTTGACTATAAGGTAATGTACTTATTAACTACAGAACGTGCCAGTTACTGTAGCATTCGTCAACTTTTATAATCAATGGGCCTATTATGCCTTTAATTATATATGTATATAGTATATACATATATTAGAGATGGGAATCAGTTGGAATTTCATCATCGATCATCGCGTTGCACATTTTTTATAATACAATATATACTAAAAACTATGAAACAGTATTATACTCACTTATATTTGGTGTAAGTTAGATTTATTGTCTCCAAGCTGTAAAGTAACCAAAAAACCACACACAAATAAAATGAAGAGTCATTTCAGCAATGTTTGCCAATTTTATTGAGCCGAGCGCTTAGTCTTTTGCTGCACAACGGCTGACTTTCGCTTATAATTCATCATCGGGACATCACTATATATATTTACCTGACTATCATTTAAAAATTACATAATAATGTGCAGTATTGTGACTGTATTGTATTTGGACAATGTAATATATGAAATATTTGTTTTAAGGATCATGCTTACTCATTTCGCCAAGAAAATGGAAAAGAAAGTTGCATGAAACGGAGGAGAAACTAGACACCATCACAAAGAAGCTGAAGAACACTGCCCGTCGAGAGAAGAGATGAAAAGAAACTGTAGACATCAGTTGGCAGAGCTGTATGAAAATACCTCATAAATATGGAGTTAAGATCAAAGCTGGAATCCTTTGGAGGTACCAAACTTTTAAAATTGAATCTAATCTTACTTTTAAACTATTCACAGACAAGCTAATCCTGTAGGTAGTGGTGGCCTATAATTATCTAGTAATGTGTTAGATGAATTGTTTCTGACAAGTGTATTTTTATTTCAGATATTCCTTGGAAATTATTTAAAAACCTTCTAAAGAATACACACACGATCAAAGGGATTGCCATCACGTTACACCTGCAATCTCCCAAGGCGTATGAGTATTTGAGGAGTACACTGGATTTGCAGCTGCCAACCCTAGAACTCTCAGAAAGTATGTAAAAAGTTAAACATTGTTTTTGGAATGTGAATACACTGCATTAGACAAAATGCATTGTATTTATAAGCATTGTATTATTGGCTGCTATAACATTTCAGTGTAGAATAATATATATATATATATATATATATATATATATCAAGAGTGGATAATAGAGAAGAGTATGACCGGTTTTAACAGCGTTTTGCATAGTTTTAAACTGGTAAATAATCTATCAATATGTGAATGAATATATTCAAACTTTACCTTGTTTCGTCTATGATTCCCTTAATCATATGACACCACCAATTTACCTGAAAATCGTATTGTTCTTCAAAAAGTTATTTGAATACGACACGGTTTCGTACAGTTTTCACGCATGAATGCATCTCTCCGACCGAACTTCTATGGGACTAGTTTCTGTTGTCTATGACGGTACGCTGGGGCGTGAAGGGAATCAGCTGCTAGCTAGCTGGCCGTGAGGCGCATTTATTTTTAGCACGCTGGAAACGCTGCACGCTGAATACAATTCGATGCCTAATATCCCATACGACCCCCAAAGTTCCGTCATAGACAATAGAACACTAATCCCATAAGAAAGTTCGGTCGGAGAGATGCAATCATGCGTGAAAACTGTACGAAACCGTGTCGTATTCAAATAACTTTTTTGAAGAACACATACGATTTTCAGGTAAATTGGTGGTGTCATATGATTAAGGGAGAATCATAGACGAAAACAAGGTAAAGTTTGAATATATTTATTCACATATTGATAGATTATTTACCAGGTTGAAAACTATGCAAAACGCTGTTAAAACGAGTCATACTCTTCTCTATTATCCACTCTTGATATATATATATATATATATGTCCTAATTTTTGTTTGTCGTTATTAACATGATTAACCTAATTACAGGTGGATGGAATGCATTGATAATAAATAGAGAACATCGTACTATACGGCGCTCCCGCATAATAGATGGTCCCTTGTACCAGCGCGCATGCGCGATCGGAACCCGAACCAGTAGAGGATTGTAAGCACGCCCGCGTTTCAATCTGTACAAATACTTGTTTGATTATTGTGATTTCACACTGATCCTCTTTAGTAATGTGATCGAACAAATGGAACTCTGTTCTTATTTAATAAACCTGGATTGAACATGACATTGATCAATATTCTTCGTGAGAAAAAGGAGAAATCACCAGATGAATATACACGGTTTTTATATATTTTGATTAAATTTCAGAAGAATATCAAATTTTATTCTGTATGTAGGATCACACATTTCACTCGTTCTTTTTATAGTTTGATTGACTTTAATACGTTTTATTCAGCATATAAGGATTGTATTTTTAAAATTTTGCATTTGCATTATACAAGCAATGACACAGGTGTGCAAATATCACATGTATATATTTCATTATTGTATAATTATATATATATATATATATATATATATTGTAAACATGCAGTTTACATGAATTCAAACTCCTGCGTAAATTATGTTGTTGTTATGGTATGTTGTTTATGGTGTTGTTGTTAGTGTGTGTTGAATGTATTTCTGAAAGTTTGTTTCAAGCAGACTTGCTTTAGTAGTCTTTAGTAGATTTCTGTAGTCTTGCTATTAGATTGCATTAGATTGATTTCTGTAGTCTTGCTATTCGTGTATAGATAGATGCTGCTGACTAACCCCGCAATTCTTGCAACCCTTTCCCTGTACTACTTTCCTGCACTTTAACGTACAAATCTTTCTAGGCAGTGTTTATGACCCTAGTGAGCTTCCTACTTGCCTGGTGTGACTGCATTAGATTGATTTCTGTAGTCTTGCTATTCGTGTATAGATAGATGCTGCTGACTCACCCCACAATTCTTGCAACCCTTACCCTGTACTACTTTCCTGCACTTTAACCTACCAAATCTTTCTATGCAGTGTTCAGGACCCTGGTGAGCTTCCTATTTGCCTGGTGTGACTGCATTAGATTGATTTCTGTAGTCTTGCTATTCGTTTCTATAGATAGATGTTACTGACTCACCCCACAATTTTTGCAACCCTTACCATGTACTACTTTCCTGCACTTTAACCTACCAAATCTTTCTATGCAGTGTTCAGGACCCTGGTGAGCTTAACACTTACCTGGTGTGACTGTATTAGATTGAGTTCTGTAGTCTTGCTATTCGTGTATAGATGCTGCCGACTTTAGAGATACTAGAGATTCTTTTCTCAAGTTAAATCCTAATTTATTCATTTGTGATTGTCTATCTGAGCCTTTATGCATTTTCATACACTAACATCTAGTTAGTTATTAAATTTATTGTTATTATTTTATTGTTCTAAGGTGGGGAATAATAATCCAACCTGGCCATGTACCCTATTCGCTCCAATTTTCCTACCGCCGTGCGTATATTAGCCTATGAGCGCATATATTTGGTAATTAATTAAACTAATCGTGGTTCAATAAACTCAAAATTCACAGAGATTATAGCTAAGACATGTGGTCTATAATAGCTAGAATTATATAGAATGTAACTCAACTCGTTCGCGGAGATATCAGAAGAAGTACACTTTCCTAACGTCCGTTCGTCTGTTTACTGCCTAGAAAACAGTGCGACAATCATCTTTCCAATATGGCGGCGCAGGAAATCACCATCTGCGATGACGTCAGCCTATCTAGTTGTTATAGGATATCTATGGTCCCTATATATAAAATATATATTATATATAGGGACCCTAGTAACTCCTAGGGAATCGGTGCACCGGGGAGAAATACTAATTTTTCACACATGTGTACACATGTATTGTATACATGTGAACCTAGCCCTACCCTAACCCTAACAAAGCCCTACCCCAACTCTAACCCTAAGCAGAAAAAAATATTTTTTTTAAATATTAAAAAAAAACGAATCCTTCTGACTTTGTGTACGATTCGGAACCGTTCGGCGAATTCCGGAAAAATGAGTATTTCTCCATGGTGCAATAATTCTCCTAGGGTCCAGGGGCGGTGTACAAAGGGGGGGCGTCCAGGGGGACACCCCCCCCCCCTGCTCGCGCCAGGAAAAGCATCTGAGGGGGTCTAATTTCAAAAAATTTCTTCCTTCGCGTGCTCGCAAGTTTGGGTTACGGTTAGACCCCCCCCCCCTGCTACAAATCCTGTACACGCACCTGGGGTCCCTATATATAAAGGGACCCTAGTAACTCCACCATAACTCCACTCATAGCTAAGTCCACTATAGTATAATAAATATAAAGTGCGATATACAAGAATAAAACTACTGGACACTTCTCCAAGAACAAAATAACAATAGAGCACAAGAATTATATTATAATTAAGTAAATTTATTTGCCAAATAAGCATTTCCAGCTACTTCGCTATCACTGTGCCAAGACACCTGCCTTTCGCATGGTGCACTAAAATAACAATCGTCCAGAAATTCATTGGTCAGTTCCAATTTATTTTAGTACGTATCCCACTTTTATGAATGGTAAACATGACATTATGCTAAATTTTACAGCTTTTTAGTCATATTATGCAGTCCATTGACTCTTTACTTGCTATGTTAAGCTACCTCAAATTATGTAATGATGATGACTGATGATAATGCATGGTGCACTGCAACAGCAACTACTGAAGGGGTGCATGTTAACGACCACTGAATATATCATATGAACTAAATAAAACGTAAAAAGGTATATTTACCATTAAACTGGACAGTGAATCTATTACATGGTGCACGAACCTTGTCACACAGATGATGTGAGTATGACGATAACGTTTAAATAAAATTAAGATGAAACCACAAATCCATAATAAAGTAGAAAAATTCCCTACACAGTAAGAAATAAATCACAGGCTTTGAATGCACATGAAACATGATAGCCTAGATAGATTCTTTGTTATTGCGTGATACATTTTCTTTTAATGCAAAAAGTCTCATTTACCCAGATGAGACGGGGATACAGAGAAGCGTTGCCGAAAGGAGGGTGTGATCCCAAGCGCTATAAGCGCAGATCTTGCGCCGCAGTTCCGCGGCAAAGGCGCACGGCGACCGCGGGAAAATAGTCAGGATTCTATCTAAGTATCTATCTATTTATGTTAAAGTTTCATATCGCATACACACGGCCCATAAGAGGCAAGTAGTTGGTTTCCTTAGATCAATAAAACGATGTCTGCATTTGAGAGTGTACACTCTAAAATCAATCGTCAGATGTTTACATTCACTTAACAGTGTGTCACAGTAAGCGAATAACATTCGACCATCCTGACAAACCCTCAAATAAACTGCTGATGTATAGCAATGCATATATGCATCTACATAGCTTATTAACACGACCGATCCATGTTAAACCTCATGGCCTACACTGCTGCCACTCTGTGCTCAGTATCATAAGAACTGACGCCTTAAAGTTAAACATACATGTTCTCATGCACGGTAGCATTTAAAAAAGGATGCCTATAAAAGCAACTATAGGCACGTAAAACTGCTTCACTCGTTCAAACTGCGAATCTGTAGCAGCCCATAGGTGCCAGGTCATCATTGGAGAACAAATATACGTTTGTGCGTCGCCTCCATAGCTCCCTCTGCGTGGAACGTATTTCGGCATGCTTCATCATGGACCACCGTGCTTCGGTCGATCGACTTCGTTGCTTCTACGCATGACGAACTCGGTCACAGCCGAGTAACGCGTGTTGTCATGCGCGGCTCCGAGCGATCGCGAAGATGTCCGCAGCGTCGGCAGCGTTCCTCCCTCAGCCGGCGTCGCTCGCTCGCTTCGTCGCGCACAGCCACGTGTCAGGCACCTCGTACGAGTAGCGCGGCACGCCGCTCTCGTACGGGATGTGCCATGCGTCGCCCTTCCTCTGCACCAGCGTGTCAAACTTCATCGGCGCCTGCACGTTAACGAACAGTAGATTGAGAACAGTCGATTTCCATAGGGAAATTTTAGGAAAATGTTAGCAATCGTGAATAGACGATTTCTATCAAATTATGCTAGGAAAATTTTTAATATGTTTGTTTCTATTTGTTTCGCAATGACAACATGCGAGGAAGCTTGGCGTGAATAGTCGAATTTGATTTTTTAACAAAATGCAAGGAAAGTACATGTAAAGTGGATTTCATTTAAGAAATGCTAAGGGAATTATTCGAGATGCACGTACTTTACAACAGGTTCTCGACTTACATTCACACTCCACATTTCATTAATATGCAAACAGCTAGATTTTGTTTCTTTATAAATATGGATCAACAAACTGCATAGTATGACCTCTGAGTCAGTGCCAGATCGAGATGGATATAATTTACGGGGGACGTTACCTTCAATCTGACAGCTCCCCCAGGTTTGATGTGCAGCAGCTGCAGCTGGTGACTCCACTGCCACTTGCGGAAAAACGTGTCAAACTCTTCGCCTGCAAGTGATTTTGCAATTACACAAGTTACGTACGGTGACTTAAAGCATGCAAAGCTTAATTTTAACAGACATAAGATGGCCGACGAAAAACAACTGGACAAATCAAAATGAGCCATACTTCACGGCCATTGTGTGGCATTATGCGGCACCACAAATAAACCAGATGATGATTGGATATATCATTGACAGAGCTTACCCAGCTTAAAGAGATGGTCCCTCATCATGTCCTTTGAAAGGAATACCGTTCCAAGTCCACTGTACATGGCTGCATACAGGAGAAACGGGTCGTCCTTCGATCTTAAATGAAGCAGAAATGACTAGGACAACTCAACATGGCAGACCGCTTACATTTACCATCGCATAATACAGAGAAGCTTAGCCACAAGTTTAAAATTTGTTGCACTTATTTTAGAGCAGATAAAGGAAAACCTAGCGTTTTACTGAGTAATAACTGTAATAGGTGCATCCAATCCAAAATGAGAGTCCACGAGACAAAATGATGGTGTACAGTTCAACTGCACCGGTGCACAGGTATCACACACTGGATCGTAACAGTTCTGTTAATCACCGTGTCACACCGCTGAAGATTATTGAAACACTGCTAACCTTACTACAGTCGTATCTTCAAGCACAAAAGGGGATTTTTTTTAAGAGCTCACGTACAGATTTTCAGCGAGGAAGCAGTGAGCCATCTGCTGTATAGGAGCCATGTATTTCTTTGGCCATCCGTTCATGTGCCGTCGTCCCAGCACCAGCACCTTCTTCCCACGCGTCTTCGCGAGATACTCGGTGACCTGGTACAGCTGCGGAAATACAAAAACAAGAGCTCTCTGAGCTTTCTCCGAATTAACGTCACCTCGCCCCACATTTCGAGCGGATTTTACAAAGAAGACAAAGTCCTGGCAAAAGGGTCTACAGTTGTTTCAGCATCATAAACTCATGAAAAGTGAAGGAATGTTAGGACCAGGATAAGGCTAGTTAGGATACGGCTAGAGTTAAGGTTACAATAACGTTAGGCTAGGGTTATGATGTATAAAGACGATGGTGTATGTAACATAGGACTGAGGCCCTCACGACTGCACGAAACCAGGAAACTGAGCAGTCCCGAGTGACGTAAACTTACCATCTTAGCCTGGTCGGTGTGAGTGGCATGTCTGCCAGCCTGTTGATAGCCAACATTCAACCCGTCCACAACGACGTCGTACGGCGCGGTCGTCTCTACGAACCGCTTGAAAAGCCCCACCTCTTCTGGCGTCGAGTTCAGGAATGTATCTTCGCCTAGTGCAGAAGTAAGTACATAGTCAGCAACATTTACGGCAGTGTCGAGTAACTTCGCTGTATACCTGGACTTGTCACCGTATTTGTGTTTTTATAAGACGTCATGATTTTGTTACGTTGGTCTACGTTGTGACATCAAATTAGTCATGCTTAAAAATCACATGCCATTGAACCCTGCTGGTGCTGGCATCTAGTGGTCATAAACGTTCACATACTTATTTTTAATTATTCAATACCCTTCACTACGCGTTCCATAAAGGTAGTTCTCATTTTCTCAAAATCTTTCCCAGATATGTTGATTGGCTCCAGGTGGGCAGCGCATGCTGAACACTCTCCCCTATAATGTAGGAAAACATACAACCTAAAAACTAGCAAATGCCTACTAACTCAGCTCTCAACAACCCACTGATATGACTTCTAAGCGTATAAAAGCCTACTAATGCTTTTATATAACTTCTCCGATTTTTCAGAACCCATATTGTTTCCTTGAACAAACATATCTGTTAGAACTTATGTATTTATGTTAGAAATATGCAGTTTAAAGCAGAAATGAGAGAAGCATTCACTTACGCTTTTGACACGGTGGCATATTTCACAACCCAGTTTTCATCTGGCTTGCTAGAATAATAAGTGAGAAAGAACATTAGAAGATACATCAAAGTCACTTTTTGTATGTATATGATAAAGTGACTTCCACATAATAGTTCTTTTCATGCGCAGAGCTCAAATTTATGTTGCACAGCAAAGCAAGCACAGCAAATTGCAAGCATGCTTGCCCAGGCTACTTGCCTTATACCTGCTCCTGAAAATTAGCCATTATCCGCAGCAATAACAACCCATCCCCTTCCTGCCCCATGGTTGGGCCACCTGGTTCGCCTCTCCAGCTCTTCCCATAAATTTAACGGTATGTAGTCCCCTCTTTGTGCCACATAAAGGAAGTGCTAGAAAAATGCTCGAAAAAAAGTGGCATAGATAACCGGTCTTTGACGGATGTTTACCACGGTGCCCCTGAAACTTGACGTGGCGTCATAAAACTTCTAAATTAAACCAAAGACAACACTTGCCTCGCCCTGAGGACATTTTATATCGACCCCTAATATTTATTACCCGGCTAACTGCGTGACGAACGTCGCACGCACACGACAATTCCCCGATACACGTTACAAACCGTCGAATGTCGCTCTAGTACGTACGTGTATTACGCGGTGTATTTCATCCCACCTCCCTACTAAATGAGCTCTCTATTACGCGACAGCGTTTAGTTCCGGTCCTCGCAGCGCGACCGTGTACAGACACGTCTTTTTGCGAGACAACCCCACAGCTTATACTCACGTCCTTACCCTATCTAGGACATCGCTACAGTTTGCGACGTATCCTTGCAAACCTCACCCAGAGACGCGTGATGAGATCGACTACGTTCTTACGCGACCGCTAACATTTTTTTCAAACATTAATTCGGGACGGGAGCCTGCTAAAATATGCATGAGGGAGCGCGTATTCGCTGCGCTGATTAGATGCGTCGGACTCCCCCGGCGTTACGCGCTGTACTGCTGCCGCTAAACAGACCTACTCTGCGTCTGCTGCACGTGCGTGCGTGCGTCTGTGTGTGCGTGTGCACGTGTGTGTCTGCTGTGTGCACGCATGCGTGTCTACTGCGTGTGTGTGTGTGCATGTGTCTGCTGCGTGTGTGTGTGCGTGCGTGCGTGCGTGCGTGCGTGCGTGCGTGCGTGCGTGCGTGCGTGCGTGCGTGACTGCGCAGGCTGCGTGTGTGTCACACAGGAAGTATGCTACGGATCGGCTTGTTCAACGCGCGACAGACCTGATGGAACTGATTATTACCGCCCAAGCTCCTCCCTAACTGCTATAATTAGCACAGGAAACGAACACTTCAAGAAAGGACAGCTTTGCCCAAAAACCTGTCTAGTGGGAATGTGATGGCATAATACCAGTAGTAGACTTTGCTTAGGGTTTGATATCTTGACATTATATTTAGTAAAATACTGCTATTTCTAGAGTCTTTTCCTATTTTAAAGATATACTTGCCCATAAAGCTACCCTGCCTTGCTGTCCACTTTAAAGGAGAAATTCGTTAATAAAATCGTTTTAGTACAAACTATGCACAGATCGGTAACTAATGGATATCCCATAGAATCTTATACTCAATGAGAAAATACAGTTCTGCCCTTCATGCTAGGCTAAGCTAACGGTAGTGTATGAAGCATCGCAGCACTAGCAATCATGGCTATTACTGCACACAATGCCCCCCATACTGCTCAGTCTGTGGGACCATTATACTGCTAAAGGTCATCCATCCCATGCTGTGCAGAGCACTGATGACAATCCGTAGGGGTCGTTCAGGTACAGCTAAGAATGGATGGGGTTATTATGTACCTCATAGTAGAGAGACTAGAGGCATTGTTACAGCACGCACCCTGCTACACATACACAGACTCCCACACATACACACCCTCCCACACATACACACCCTCCCACACATACACACCCTCCCACACATACACACATGCACACACGCACGCACACAGAGACACTACACTGTATGATGGATGCAGCATATCCTGTGCTATTTCGTCTCTTGGCTCGTGTGAGGGAGGGGGGGGGGTGCAGCTGTTACAGTCACACATTATGGTTGTTGGTACGTGCAGACAGCATCACATGGAAGCTGTCACAGAGATACTGCTTGCTTCACACATCTCTGGCAGCAGCTGCGCACTCACTGCACATGCCTGACTGTCCGCCTGCCCCAAGCTCCCCCCTCCCAGCCCGTGCACTCCCTAAAAACAGTCCAGCTACACCAAATCCACTCACTCACTCACTCATTTCTATGCCAGACACACTAGCAACTTGTACCCAAGCACACAGTGGTGTCACTCCCATTCATGTAAGCTGCAGCTGAGGCAATACATTGCGCGGAGGTGACATTTCTCGGCTGTTACCTTTCAAACCAGCCGCGAATGGGAGTGACGGCGTCCAGAGGCACATATATTCTTTTGTCTCGCAGAAACTGCAGAAGCCCTAACATCATCTCCTCGCCCCTTCCGGCATCTTCCTCTCTATAAATTAAAAATGCAAGCTACACATCAGCATATGTTATCTGTGACAGACAATGCATCAACGAAGTTGCGACCATATTGTGAAATGTCAAGACGGACAATGCATCGACTACTCATGTGATTAATAATAGACCACTTTCATGCAAAATGGTCCCCTGCCATGATCGAAAATTTGAACTTTGAACTATGGCCCGCACATGACTCTTCCTCATTTTGTGCTTCTTTCCCTTTCTACGTTTACGCTTGTGAAAGGTTACGGTATTTACGTACGACTCACCGCGCCTGACTACCATATTTACCGGCTAATGAAACGCAGTTCTCCGATAATTTCCCTAAAACATCACCCCACGTGTTAGCGCTGAAAAGTTGTCACATGCATTTTTCGCACAAAAATATACGGGCCCGCTAGTCATCTAGGCATAATATATCGTGAGCCAGGAAAGACGACGGAATGTTCGACCCAAGCAGTCTTGAATCTTGATAATAAGTCTGAATACCCAAGCCAGTTCTGATCTCAAACATTTTTATGTCTGATAAATAACCTATAGTAAAATCCATCAAAATAAGCCAGCCCTACTCAAAAGCTTACGAGTTTCAGGCCGGGGGAGGGGCTGCGACTTCCTACACTGCCCCAAACATTCTCATCAATCTTTCTGTTCTTCTCTCACACAAAAACCATCAGTCATTAACACGAGGTTAGCTTCACGAGTAAGACTAATTGTACTCGTAATTTATCATTGTGAGTCACAGTTAGGTGTATATATATATATATATATATATATATATATACCCAGCTGTGGCCCTAAACTAGTAATTTATCACTATGGGTCATAGGTGTATATAGCGACTAATTATACTCATAATTTATCATTATGAGTTGCAGTTAGGTATATATATATTTGTTTATTTATAATACGGTCGCCACGTTTTCAACAGTTGGTTTGATTCAGACGGCCCCACCGATAGCCGGCCCTATGGTAATGCGACTGCGCCGTCACCCCCACAGCGTCACCGCGCGACAGCCCTACCTCGCCGCGACGCACAGCCTCAGCCACTCCTCATAGACGTCCGCTTGTATCGACTTCCCCGCCCGCGTCGCCTCGCCGATCGTAGCCCAGCCCGTGTCGAGGTCGCGCGCGCGGAACGCCCGAGCGGCCCGCGACGGCGTTGTACGCTCGCGCCCGACGACGTCCACGCGCCCGCTGGCCGTCCGCGACGACGGCGACGGCGTCCCGCCAGCGCGGCGTCGCGCAGAGCGCCGGCGCGATGAGGTCACAGGTCGTGGCGTCGAACACCGGGTAGCGCGCCGCGAGCTGCTCGTACGCGGCGACGACCGCCGTGCCGCGTCGCCGCACCGCCCGCACAGCGCCGCGTAGTGCGCCACCACCGCCAGGTTGGGGGCGCCACCGTCGCGGCGGAGGTAGTCGATGAAGGATTCGCCGACGGCGTGGTGGAGCGTGTGCACGCACTTCTTCATGACGACGCCGTCGATGACCTTGACCCGGGTCGGGTCGGCGGCGAGCAGGCGCGAGCGAAACGCATCCCACTCGGCGGCGTCGACGCGGCGGTCGCCCGCGGCGACGAACGCCTCGATCTCCGCGACCCAGAGGTCAAATTTCCGCATGTCCGCCTCGACGACGGCATCGTCGTCGTTGTGCACCCAGTCGCGGTCGTCCACCCTGCCGCACGCCGACTCCCTCTTGTGGGATGGAGCGACGGAATTCCGAGATCTCTTGGCGGTGGCGCCACCCTGTGGCGATTTCCCGAAGAGCGCAGCGATGTTGACGAGAGGCTTGGAATCTCCAGCAGGTAAAAGTCGACGAGAGGATAACGAGAAGTCGCGCGTCGGCAGGTCAGACATCGTTTTAAAGGTGACCGGCGCCAGGACACGCAGATGGCGCCTCCGTAGATTTCCGCAGCCGCTGCCGAGGAGTCTGATTACTGAGATGCGAGCGTGACTCATTGTCTGTGTTTGCATCGGACGATGTCTTAATCAATTCACGCTTCAAACGGGATCGGTTTGCCGATGCACGCACACTCGCAAGTCGCAAACATATCACTCGTATACTTGAATATATGCTTGCGAGTGTCTATCCAACACATGCATCTTCAAATCTCCATCATAATCTGAAAGAGAAGAAAAAATATACTTGCTTTAATAAGTAAATTATGTGAAATTTGCATAAATAACCGTTGGGTATGTCTGTTAAAATAGTTATAATATTCAGTTGATGTATCGTTCTTGTCCGGTAATCATTTTTATTGCATTTGATCGAAAGCGCTGTATATCTCATGTAACAACTGCCTAAATATTATATGAGTACACGTCTAGATCAATTATGTTTGCGCCGATGATCATAGAAGTGTTAGTAACGTTAAGAAGTTCATGAAGGAAGATTCACAGATTTTGCAACCAATACGATTTGCTGGTTACGTTAATTGAAACGTAAGTAGTGGCACGCTGATAACATCCCATTAAAAATGATCCCTGTCAGCAAATAAAAACGGATCTAACTGCTCCCAACATGGTACCGTGTTGGCAAATATTAGTGTGCCTAAACCTCGCTTATGTATACTGACATCTGCTCTCGTAAAAACACCCGACAGATAATACGGAAATTTGCAGAAACGGAACGAAAAACTTGTTTTTGTGACGCGATAATGTTTGCAGTAGATCGTAGGTACACAGGTGGCAGACAGGAATGCAGTGAACACGTTTCCGGCATCATGCACATCAGTTTGGCTTGCGGAAGTACGAGTAGAGGGGAAGGTTACGACCTCTAATTAATGCGCATTCACTCATTATATGTTTGCAATTAGACGATCAGTCGCGCAGGTCCATCACAAGTGTAAAACTCCAAGATGACGGGAAGAAGATAAATTCAAAAGTGAAGAGCCACACAACCAGAAAGGACAAAGAAGACGTTGTACAAAAAAAAAAAAATTGTGCGTTCGACGTCAAAGTCATCGGCACCCGTGCACGTGTAACAATGCGGCATGCTGTGCTCGGACAGGCATTGGGGAAACTACCTCAGCCGCTCCGCTAATGTCTGACATGCTGTCAAACACTGTTTAGATCTGCATACCTGCGACGTGTGTGATGTCCCTCTCTCTTTTTCTCACTCTGTTCGTCACAACCACACTGGTTAGCGACTGGATCTTTGCACACAACAATATATGGCGGGAAACCTTCCACGGATCAGGAACGTATGGCTGGTACGTGCGTGCACTCACACGTACATTTATCACATGTACTGTTCAAGTGCGGCGAAGCCACACTGTTAAGTAAATAGTCAAAATGGCATCTAGCACACGATGTCTGCTTGTCACTTCGCCGAGACGCAAACGATCTTGGAGAGAGCAGCATTCGAGTGAGTTTGCTCTTGGGTATCGGGCATTAATAAGACAAAATATTAATTCGATAAATATAGACAACCAACCACGCCGAGTAAAATGGTCCAGGGTTCACGGAAGCAAGACGACAAAACACGGGTTCGATGAAGATTTCGTTCTTCGATGAAGTTGGTCAAGGTTTTGGTTAAATATTAAATTACAACTTGCATTTCATATCATCAGCCACACAGACACAAACACACACACACACACACACACACACACACACACACACACACACACTGAATGTTATCGTCTCTATCTTTACTGTGCACCACTAGGCTCCTGTGTTCTCGTTGGTGGGTCCAGCACACGCACACCACCTGGTGGCGTTCTGCCCGCGGGCCGTATTCAAATGCACATGATTACGTTCAGCTATAAAGGTCCCGCTGCTGACGGCCGGAGTGACGGGGTGACAGAGTTACGGCAGACGACGCCGTTAACGCCCGACAATGTCCCGCCGCCGGGGCAGCGGCTCGCAACAGCTTAATTCTGTATTAGTACTCGTCTTTTAATTGACATCTGCAGAGTTACGGCAACTCGTGCCAGCCAGGTGCGGTGCTTGATACAGCCGTCGTCATGGCGACGGGGCGACAGCAAAAAAACGTGTGTCCGGGAGGGGGAGGGCAACGGTGCGATATATAGGGAACGCCTGGAAAAGGGGGAGTAGGAAGAAGGGGAAAAAAGAAGGAGGGGTGATGATGGTGAGGAGATTGAGCAGAATGATGATGATGATGATGAGGAGGAGGAGGAGGTGGAAAAAAAGGCGGAGAAGCGGCATTACGCCTTTTAAAGTTCGAGATTGATCATGAAAACAACCCCTCCAAAAATGCCTTTTCAAAATGGCAAGGTGCACAGTATTGTAATTGTACAGCGAGCGACACCTGGTGTGCAAGCGTGAGAACTAACAGCTGCGACCTCCCAGATTACAGCTTAGACGTGTTTGTATAATGTTATGTTATTATGGACATTAGGCACATTATACTTGATTGTTGGGTATATAAAAAGAATTATATATATATATTGCTTGTTAATGAAGGATGTTGCAAATTGTTGCCGTAAGTGGTGTGATACGTACGCCAAGGGATCACTGTTAGATTACTGTTAGAGAATTATATGTGATTAAAGGTTTTATTACATGTAGTATTAGGAGTAAGCGTGCATATATGTGTGAGCGCGCGCGTGTGTTTGTATGTCTTTGTGTGCGTGCCTGTGTGCGCGCGTGTGTTTTTATGCGCGCGTGTGTGCGTTGGGAACAGTTCATCGCATGTCCCTCGCATAACTATATTCTTACACCCATTATCTTACTTCTCTTTTTCCTCCTCCTACTCCTCCTCCTCCTCTTCCTCATCCTCTTCAACCTCTACTTCTTCTCCGCCTTCTAGTTTCCCACACCTACTTCATTCTGCGTATCCTCCTCATCCTCCCCTCCTGCTCCATTTCTTCTTCTTCTTCTTCTTCTTCTTCTGCTTCATCTTCTTGTTCTTGTTCGTTTTCTTTTGCACCTCTTCGTCTTTATTCCCTCTATGTACGGGGGTGGGTGGTTACTGACTGCATGCGCCTGTCTTCTAGAATGATGCAAACCACCAGGATGACAACGAGTGTGGCTTGACAGAGAAATCCAAGTCTACCTCCGACTTATCACAGTACACCTATCCATTGACGAGCTCAGAGGCTATCGAAGAGGTAAGC